TTTTAATTCTTTAATTTCATCCCTCAACTCTTGAACTTGAGTTTGCAAGTTATGATTGTGCACCAAAGCATTCAACTTTGAAGAAGACGCACCGAAACCAAGACCTCTTACCCGTCCTAGACATTCTGGATCAAGTAGTTTTGCAACACCATCACTTTCAAGTAAGTGTTTGCTTGGAGAGGAAACGGCCTCTGAATATGCTTTTATTTTATTTTGATATGAGGAAATACATTAATGAGCTAAAATTACGTAATATAAGCTTTGAATGATAAAAAAATTATTAAAAGCAATATTTTTACCAATGTTTTCCCAACTGATTCATTAATAGGTTCACCATTCTCTCGTTATCGAATCAGGATCTTCACTTTCAGCACGCTGCATTTTACACATTTCATGGGTGGTAGTTTGTATAACATTTATAATTTTTCAAACAAATTTAACTTTAATTTAACAATTGTTTACCATTTCAGCTTCTAAGCGAGTAAAGCCCTTTCTACTTGTTGTATGCATCATGGTTTGACTTGCTCTCATCTTTTTGAATCTTTCATTCTTTTCCTACAAAATCATTTATGCACGCTGTAATAGGCATAAATGTTGTGGCGAATATATAACAGATGCAGTAAGCAATATGTTGCAAGGCACAATCAATATACAAAAGCAATGAAATCTTACCTTATATGGTTGAGAATTGTGTTCTTTGACAAATGCTTGCTATTCTTCCATTGATTCAACATTATCGGGCTTGATGAGAGCAGTAGCTTGTGTCATGCCAATTGTTTTTCCTTTGTTATTGATTGCTTTAAGCAAATTACATCGATGATTTCGCCAAATTTTTCCTATTTTTTGCATGATGTATTTTCTATGACAAGCATTGACATCCAAATTTGCTGCATCAAAGTACACAATATTAATAGTAATTTAATTTAAATTATATAAGAGACGTGACATTTATATTACATGCACATGCTCCCATATGTCATCAAGAAATTCTTTGCTGATATCTTTCCAATTTTTCCATGTAATTGGTATAAGTTCTCTAGTTGTGGTCCCAATAAATGATGACAACTTATTTGAACCCTTACAAATTGGTTGTCCTCTTTCATTAAACTCTACTGGTAACTTCCACATTTTCTCTTGTTGAGATAATTCAATTTTGCTTGACCCCTTCCCTTCTTTTTGTTTTCAGTAGTACTAGCACTATTAGGCAACCCTTCTACCACATCATTTTCATGTACATCTAGAACAGAATTAGAACCTCCTTCTGATAGTCTTATCCCTTCATTCCCTTCTCTTGTGGTAGCAACAATTGAAGCTTTATTTTTGTAGCTTTTTTTGATTTCTTATTAGCCTTGATTAGATGACTGTATTGAACAAAAAAAGAAAAAAAAA